AGTCATAATGGGGAAAGAATATAATTATCGGGCGATTGGAATTCTGTTCGGATCATCAGTACATGTAAAATAGTCAACAGAACGCGTGAAAGCTGTGTCACATACCTGGCTGTAGAACGAAAGAACAATATTCATTGAATAAAAGCCTGCTGTTTCCTTCTCCATTGTTACAAATACCCCCTGTATACACAAGTAGCGCTCATTCGTTGGATTCGCTGACCCTTTTCTGAAAGAATTGTCCCAGTGCTGACCACATTCAAACACTTTGAAAGAAAACTAAGACACTGCGATTGGTACTAGTCCTCAACTGAACCATAGCATTATGTCATCAGTGTGAAGCTATCACGAAGGAGCTAGCACGAACAAACGATGTGTTAGGTAAAAACTTTTTTACTAAGTATGCCCCCTCCATGAGAACTACACCATTCGATGCAGAATTTAATTCTGCNTTCTTACAAAGAGACAACTCTCTGTGGTGGTTCAAGTATGCTGAACGATATATTTCTAACACTTTAGTATCATACCAGCAAGTTCAATGGGCGGGCATTACTTATAAATTACATCTGTATACTGAAATAAGTCTCATTGTGCACGCATTTGTTATCTTGAACTTGGCCATGGCTATTGTTGGAAATATTAGATCTAAACTGAAAACTCAACAACATTTACCCATTAGAAGATAATACTTTTGAGTGTGAGCTCTCTAATCAGAATAAATGTGGCAGGATATTTTTCGTGTGTTAGGATAGGTTCCTGCAATTACTGAGAAGTAAAGAACATTAATTAATCCAAGCATGTTTGTCTGATTGTAACAATTACAATTTCTTCTCACTATTTTTAGTTGTAGCAGTGGTAATAAAAAGTGACTGTATACTCAGCTAAAAAGTTTCAGTATCGCACGGCGCGATTTTATTTACTGAAAACAAAATGCACATATTTTCTTTCTTTGACCATGGGCACGCTCATCTTCGACTGCTTTATATATTCATATATACAAATCCTGTCGATAGCATTATATCAGACTTCGTGAATAATATTGCTGGTTGTTCCAAATTCTATTGTTTATCTACAACACATACAGACTATTACTACACTGTTGTATTCGTTGTTGGTACTCATTTGTAAACAAACAGAGACTAAATGTGCGCAAATACCACGATTAAAAGCAAGAATATCTGTATTTAGATGATGATCCTTTGCATACTTTCAGTCCACTCGATTTATATGAGTATATTTTGACCAAGTGCTATTAACTCTTTGCAAACAAGCGGGCGATATACATACCATTTCAGATCCACCTCTAAACCTAGTAATACTACATGTATAAATTCAGTCTGCGGTGACTCCAGATAGCCAAAATCCACTTCTGTTCAATGATCATCATCTCGTGCGAGTTTTCAATCAACGATACGTGCAGAGAACTCAAAGACAAGTATCTAAACCAAATGAAATGTACGTTCTCTTACAGTGTAATGTTAAAGAACACTACGAATATATATGTCATATCTTAGCGCACAGACTGTGATGTTGAATTATGCACAGCTGAGCGGTTTCAGCTTTGTCATCATTCAAAAGACAGATCTCAGAGCAAGGGTACAATAAGCTCCTATCATTAAATTTCGTACGACTTCAAACTTCAGAGCGTTTCAAACAGTGTCGAGATGTTCGATGTAAGCAAACCATAAACACAAAGCCCTGTTATCAGAATGATATACAAACGAGCTCGAAAATATATTGCAAAGCTCTTTCCACGATAAAGTACTGCAAAAACACTTCCCTGATATTTTAACATCGATAAGCACCAAGAGTGAATAGTGCTGATCATATTCGACAAAATAACTTGTTTTCAGACTACGCTGATAGTGGGAAATGATTAATCTAACAGAACGATTGGGTGTGCTATTTTTTAATTATTCTCTCTTCACCATGTCATTCTAGTCAGTTTATAGCAGTGTTTCTTTCAAACGCACCGTAGAACTCATACATAACGGAAGAATACTACTCTCTCCAAAAATGAACCACAAAAAGAAATAAATAAAACCTCCTCATCAAACAATCAGTACATTTAGGCTTTGGAATAAAACANGCGTTGAAACCACTACCCTCTACAAAAGATTTTAGGACGATAGAGAAAAATATCTCTTCTGAAAAAAAAGAAAGAAGCCGAAGGTTCGTGACTAAGAAAAAACTAACGTCATATTTGAGTTCTTCGACCTCGATTATCCTTCCATCAATCGTTTTCTAATAAGTATGGTTAGGTTTTCATTGATTTATAAAATGCTGCAATCTGATTGGATTATGCAAACAAACGTTTAGCATTTTAACGACCGTATTTTATACGCTATAACTCTTTTTGTTGCAGAAAAGAGAATTAGAAACGAATTAAAAGTAAACAACGAGTAATCGAGCTTTCAGAATCTGCAGAAATCCGCTAGGAAAAAGATCGGATTTTGTCGGATGCCAGAAATGCTAACAATCTTGGACTTTCGGCGTATTCCCATCGCATCCGCTGGAGTTTACTCGCTCTGAGCAACCATCCTTTAAAGCGTAATTAAGACTGGGAGCCTCAAACTTTACGTTAGCTTCTTCTTGTGCACCTTTCTTTCGAATCTTATTCGATATATGGTCTATCTGAAATGAGATCTTTCCGATCCATTATAAGTATGCGTGAACCTGTTGCTTTTCTGTGCTAAAAAACAGAACATCATGTGACGTACAGTAGGATGTCATTGGTGTTAAACATGGTATAAAGCTAAACGTGATCATTGAATTCGAATAGAAATAGAAAAACAGAGGATATTATGGATAGGTCATTATAATCGACTAGGCAAAAACTACTTTTTTTTTACAAAGACACAAGTGGTTTGGTTTATGAGGTGAAACAAGTCTCTATGGCGTTTCAAGTATGCTGAACGATATAGTTCTAGCATTTTAGTATCAGACCAGCGAGTTCAAGTGGCGGGCACTACTTATAAATTACATATGCATACTGAAATAAGTCTGATTGTGTACGCATTCGTTATCTTGAACTTGGCCATGGCTATTGTTGGAAATATTAGATCTAAACTGAAAACTTAACAACATTTACCATCAGAAGATGATACTTTTGAGCGAGAGCTCTCTAATCAGAACAAATATAGGAGGATATTTTTCATGTGTTAGGATAGATTTCTGCAACTACTGAGAAGAACATGAATTAATCCAAGCATGTTTACCTGAGTTTAACAATGACAATTTCTTCTCACTATTTTTAGTGGTAATAAAAAGTGACTGTATATTCAGCTAAAAAGTTTCAGTATCGCACGGCGCGATTTTATTTGCTGAAAACAAAATGCTCATATTTTCTTTCTTTGACCACGAGCACGCTCATCTTCGACTGCTTTATATATTCATATATACAAATCCTGTCGATAGTATTATATCAGACTCCGTGAATAATATTGCTGGTTGTTGGAAATTCTATTGTTTATCTACAACACATACAGACTATTACTACACGGTTGTATTCGTTGTTGGTACTCATTTGTAAACAAACAGAGACTAAATGTGCGCAAATACCGCGATTAAAAGCAAGAATATCTGTATTTAGATGATGATCCTTTGCATACTTTCAAGTCCACTCGATTTATATGAGTGTATTTTGACCAAGTGCTGTTAACTCCTTGCAAACAGGAGGGCTATATACATACCATTTCAGATCCACCTCTAAACGTAGTAATACTACATGTATAAATTCAGTCTGGGGTGGCTCCAGATAGCCAAAATCCACTTCTGTTCAATGATCATCATCTCGTGCGAGTTTTCAATCACCGATACGTGCATAGAACTCAAAGACAAGTATCTAAACCAAATGAAATGTACGTTCTCTTACAGTGTAATGTTAAAGAACACTACGAATATATATGTAATACTTTAGCGCACAGACTATAATGTTGAATTATGCACAGCTGAGCGGTTTCAGCTTTGTCATCATTCAAAAGATAGATCTCAGACCAAGGGTACAATAGCTCCCTATCATGAAATTTCATACGACCTCAAACTTTTGAGCGTTTCAAACACTGTCGAGATGTTCGATGTAAGCAAACCATAAACACAAAGCCCTGTTATCAGAATGATATACAAACGAGCTCGAAAATATATTGCAAAGCTCTTTCCACGATAAAGTACTGCAAAAATACTTCCCTGATATTTTAACATGGATAAGCACCAAGAGTGAATAGTGCTGATCATATTCGACAAAATAACTTGTTTTCAGACTACGCTGATGGTGGGAAATGATTAATCTAACAGAACGATTGGGTGTGCTATTTTTTAATTATTCTCTCTTCACTATGTCATTCTAGTCAGCTTATAACAGTGTTTCTTTCAAACGCACCGTAGAACTCATACAGAACGGATGAATACTACTCTCTCCAAAAATGAACCACAAAAAGAAATAAAACCTCCTCATCAAACAATCAATACATTTAGGATTTGGAATAAAGCATGCAACAGCTTTCTTATAACGAAGAATCGCTGCCATTCAGTGTACCACGCCCTGATCACTTTGCCATTAGTAGAAATAACATCTGAACTGCATACGTGCTGTACTATCATCGATCCCATTCGTCTACATCTCCAATATACTCGAGCTGTCTACAGTAATGTTGTCTTGTCCATCATACCCTGTCAGAAACAAACTCTAAACCGAGAGGACCACTCATAAACGCACCGCACTATGGCGTCTCTTCTACCAAACACTGCTCCGTTATACCTTCGTAACTAAATCATTCATTTTGACTAATGCACATGCATTTCTCACAGAACAAAAAGCATTAACATTCAGGTAACATTCACTTCTCACAACCACATTCGTTTTCTATGCCTTTATTACTCCCCGATGTCACGATGACCACACAACAAATGATATCTACTAAGTTCTCAATCAAAAAAGATCTGATCAACACAAAGAGTCATCAGATCCACCATCACTTGTTCTCCGATTGAATTCAAAGCCAGATCTATACCATCTTGGCGCTCTAAGAATGAGACAAAACAGAAATTACAAACTTCACCGACCACTGCATCAATTTTACTATATTCCTTCCCAACGCATCTGCGATATGTTGAGCTACTTCGTCATCGATTTGCTTCGAACTGAGGTGAAGTGTGGTGAGTGTCTGTACGTGTGATATAGACTGAGTGCTTCATCTTCTATGAAACGAGATCAATATTACCGTATTCGTTCGCAACGCATTAGCAATGTGTTGTGCTCCTTCAGTACCGATTCGGCTGTCACGGAGGTCAAGTGTCGTGAGTGTCTGTACGTGTGATATAGACTGAGTGCTTCATCTTCTATGAAATGAGATCAACATTACCGTATTCGCTCGCAAGGCGTCCGCAAGGTGTTGTGCTTCTTCAGCACCGATTTCGTTCCCTTCGAGGTCGAGTGTGGTGAGTGTCTGTAGGTGTGATATAGACTGAGTGCTTCATCTTCTATGAAATGAGATCAACATTACCGTATTCGTTCGCAGCGCATTAGCAATGTGTTGTGCTCCTCCAGCACCGATTTGGTTCCAACCGATGTGAAGCGTGATGAGTGTCTGTACGTGTGATATAGATTGAGTGCTTCATCTTNGGGGAATGTCATTAACACCCATCTGGTGGCATTGTGATTGGAAACGACTTGGAAGAAAATTTTATATTTTAATTGATGCAAATCAATGGCCTTCAATTGGAATTACAATGGATGATAAAGATATCACTACGGTTTATAATTTGATTAAACAACAAATGGATTTCAGTCATTCGATGATTTATCAAGAAAAATCATTACCGATCGATTCGAAAAATTCAATTAAAGCATAAAGAGAAAACTTTCGTGGAATAAAATTCGATTTTTTTTTTGTATTTCAAAATCAATTTTCTCACATGAAATTTATTTGAAAAAAATATTTTCGAGATTGTTTGAATTTTTCTCTTATTTATTAAGTTCATGTCGAGTGATTTTATTCAATTCACTTCCTTCTGTTTACCGACAGTTTTACATTCTCACAAAATACTGATGAGAAAAAAATTCTTTTTTAAAATCAGGGCTTGTCTGACTTCATTGTTAAAACAATGTTGTTCGAAAAGTTAATCAAAATAAACATCTATGAAATTCAACGATCTCGTTGTACAGTTGAGAAATTTGATCCATTTCGATGAAATTTCAACCGAAGAATAATAAATAATTTGTGATTTTTCTTTTCGAAGAGAAACAGTGAATCTTTCTCTATTTATCGTTCTTCTTCTTCTTGATTGGAAAGAGAAAAACAAACGTCGAGACAGTAAATACTTCTTATGTATTATATCGATGTTTTTATGCACTTTTCCTCTTATTAGTATTCAACATTGGTCAGAGAGAGAGAGAGAAAACATGCGTGTAAACTAGACTTTACCAAGGTTTTTTTTTTATCCAATTATTCATATGAAAAAAAAGTCTTTTTTTTTAGCCAAAGAAGAATGACATGACAGATTTTTCTTCTCGTCAGATCTGATAAATGAAAAACAAAATAAATGTTTTCATATTTTCAGATATAAACTTGAAGAATAAAACCTCCTTATTTCTCATAATTAAACAATGTCTGTCGAAGTTGGTCAACAAGCACCGGATTTTACACTTTATAATACCGAACAAAAAGAAGTTTCTCTCAAAGATTTAACATCGAAATCAAATGTGGTTGTTTTATTTTTTCCATTAGCATTTACAAGTGTTTGCACAACCGAATTATGTTCAGCTCGAGATGATATTAGCAAATATCAAAAGTTAAATGCAACGATCGTTGCAATTTCAGTTGATTCACTTTTTACTTTAGGAAAATTTCGAGAAGAACAAAAACTTCCATTTGATTTCGATGTTAAATCTTTGAGAGAAACTTCTTTTTGTTCGGTATTATAAAGTGTAAAATCCNGGCAAAAAAATACGATTCACTTTGTGATGATGAACAATTAGGTTTTAAAGGTCTTACAAAACGAAGTGCATTTGTCATTGATAAACAAGGTCAAATCAAATATGCAGAAATACTTAAAGATGCAGGAAAACTTCCTGATTTTGATCAAATCAAACAAACATTAGAAAATTGTAATTAATTCTACAGAAAAAAAAAACTTTCTTTTATCTATTGAATAAACTATCAAAGAAAAGTTTCTTTATTTGAAAAAATGATTTTTACACTTGATATTGTCTTGGAGAAGAAAATCTTGGACTATTTGGAATTAATCTTTGTCGAGGTGTTCCTAATGGTGTCAAAGGATAAATCATTGGAGATGAAGATCGTATTTGTGAAATTGGTTCGGGATCTTTTCCTTGATATTTTGTACAAAGATTTGGTATTGTCCAACAAATCATACATGAAAGACATGATAAAAAAAGAAATGTTAAACCAAAAAGTCCAATGAATAAACCTGCAAGTGCAAATTGAATTCCTTGTTTTTTATTTCGATTTTCTTTTTGAGATAATTCTGGATCTTTTAAATAACGATCAAGAACAGATATTGATGTTAATAAACCAAATAAACAAAAAATCATTGCAACAATTGCATAAGGAAGTAAAACATAAAAAGCACCATGAGTTTGTTCACGTACAGCAATAATTGTAAATGCTCCAACTGCCATTACAAATAAACCAATCCAAATTCCTCGTCCTGAACTTGGCCAAATCGATTGTTCACTTGTTACTATTGTATAAGACATACTACTTAAATCAACACCTGTTATTGCAATTAAACTTAAACCAAGAAAGAATATTAATTGACCAAGACTTTTATTTGATGATAATTTTTGATAATCGGATGAAGATGAAAAAACACATGTGTTATAATAACTAAAACAATAAAAATATTCGATTGTTTATTGAAAAATTCTTCGTGATTTTTTTCTTTTGTTTACACAATTTTGACGATGTGATGAGCTTGAAGAATAAATCGTGGAGTATAATGCATGATCAATATTTTTAATATTTGTTAATGAATTTCAGTTTCTTTTAAATATCATTGATTAATGAAAACTTCCGTTTTTTTGTTATTCATGCGAAACGATAACCATGTGTACCTGATATTAAACTTATCAATACGACAGACACGAAAGAAGAAAAAAAAACAAATTTTTTCCTTCCGTATAAGATTTTTGATATGAAAAAAAAAAAA